CATACCCTCCCTGGGCCAGTGTCCGGACTGCCCACTTGGCAGGCTCTTGTTTGAACTGGCCTTTTTTGGGGGCAGTCCCTTTCCTGAGCACTAGCAGTGTGCCAGGGGCAGCCTGGGGTGCTCACCCCAGGTGGGGAGGACAGGGGGAAGCGGGGAGCCCTGCCTATCCACTCACGGTGAGCAAATTCTTGGTAATGCCTGTGGCTTCCAGGGTCGTCGGGCAGCAGGTGGGAACTCCCTGAATCCTCGCAAAGTCCCCAGGCCACAGGTACTTTCCTTGTCGGAATGTTCCGCGGGGAAGTCGCTCCAACGCAAAGGGCCGGAGCCGGCCCGTGAGACTCCAAGGCTCATCTCACTTAGGCTGCCAGTCGGAGGGGGTGGGGCGAGCGGGGCCGGGGGTGGGGCGAGCGGGGCCGGGGGAGGGGCTCCTCTCTGACCACCGCGCGGAGCCCTGGCGACCCTTGCCTTGCTGGAGCAAGACGTGACCTCTTTGAGGGGGAGGTAGCGCCCGCGCAGGCTTGTGAGGGGGACCCCGAGAGTAGGCAGCGAATGGCGGCGGTAAGGGCAATCATCTGGACCGAAGCCTTCCGGGGGCTTCGTGGGCCCCCACCTCACCTCTTGGCCCCACCCCCAACCACGTGAGCCCCCCTCTCACTCAACCACCCCCTTCCCGCAGCCAAGCGGAGTCCACGTCCTGGTGGTGGCTCTGCTTTCCTGGCGCCTCGCTAGCTCAGACTTCATGAACTATGGAGGATGGACGCCCCAAAGTTTCCCCCGCTCCGCCTTTGTTCTGAATGGGGGGGCACTCCAAGGCAGAAGCAGAGGCCCTCTTCCGCCCCTAGGGTCCTTCCCTGGCTGGGGGTGGGGTCGAGGACCTCAAGTCATCCCAAGGGGTAGTGTGGGGGCAGCGTAAGCTGTGTGGGGGTGTTGCAGAGGCTCTGTCAAATGTTACTTTCAGGCGCAGAACCAGTCCACGCGGCTCTCGCCCTGCCCCTGACTGGACGAGCTCCTAAAGCTCAACCCGGGGAGGCGTGAAAATAAACCAAATTCTGCTCCTGAGCCATTCTCCGCATCTAGGTTCCTAAAGTCAACAGCCCGCCAAGGACTCCATAGAAATGGCGCGCGGGGAGTGCTGGGGTGACGGAGGCCTGCCCCACCCCTGTGAACTCAGCGCCATAGGCAAGGTCAGCGGTAGGCGGTGGGCGGTGGTCAGCGTGGCCCAGGACCGCCCTATCCAGGAAAAGTTGACCAACATCCCAAGGGTCCAGAGGAGCCCTGAGGCTCCTGCCTTGGGAAATATCATGCCCCCTTGGCAAACCAGCACTCAGATGACCAGGTGTCCCTCCAAATAGGGGTGCACTGCCAGGGGAGGGTGAAGTCCTGGAGGAAAAGGAAGCAGGAGGGTTAGGCGTGTTACTCTTCTGAGGTATTAACAGAGCCCCCCTCCCACACCCAACTTCTGAGTACAGTCAAGGAGTGGTCACTATCTGCTGGAAGAGCATAGCAGACCCGGGAAGTGAACAAACAGAAACCAAGCCTACTGCCAGAGTTAATTCCCATTCATAGTGACCCTATAGGACAGAGTAGAATTGCCTCATAGGATTTCCAAAACCTGTAAATCTTTATGGAAGTAGACTGCCTCCTTTTTCTCCCACACAGCAACTGGTGAGTTCAAATCACCAACCTTCTGATTAGCAGCCAAATTCCTTAACCACGATGCCAACAGCGACCCAGGAAATAAGACACAGAAACCTGGACTAGTCAGCTTGGCCAGTAGAACAGTAATGGAGGTGGTGGATGGCTCAGGAGCTGTTGCCTGGGCAGGAGACAGACCAAGTGCAGGGGCAGTAAGTTGGGTCAGGTCACTAGGGCCTCGGGTGCTTTCCTGGAGTGAGAAGCCACTGGAAGACAGAGCCAGGACTTCACCTGCATGGGCCATGTTGCCACCTGGTGCTTATGCTGGAAGTACCTGTGATAGGTGGTGGGGATCACAGGGAAAGGGCAGGTGGGAGGGTCCAAGTGTGGTATCCAGGAGACTGAGGGGAAGGACTTGAGAGGATGGGCTGAGGGCACAGGGCAGTGATGTTGGTTAAGTGGTTGAAGATGCCTGCTCTTGCATTCACTGGTGCCAGTCTATGCATACTCCACAACCGTGACATTCAGTCTGTGCAAATTCTAGAACTGTGTCTACCAAGTCTGAAAAGAACTGCAGCTTGTGGTCAGTCTCCCTTGTCTCCTGCTGGCTGGCAGTTGCTTTCTCAGTGCCCCACCTAACACCTATTTCCTGTGACTTGGCTGAGAAAGTGGGGCAGCAGTCTCGAAGCCTACTGAGGGTGGGCACAATAGGGCCATCCCTGTCACTGCTCCTTATCTGCACAAGCGCCAGCAAGCTGCCTTGGTGGGGGCACAAAAGCTCTACCCAGCCTGTGAGCCAAAGCCAAGGGGAGGAAGGAGCCTGCAGACCAAGAGCCCAAGTGTCAGGAGCCAGGTCCCAGGATGGGATGTTCCTGTAGGGAGGGCCTTTGCTAAGGGCATGCCACTTCCGTTGTGAGCCAGTTAAGCACCCCCAGAGCCTCAGGCTGCCAGCCTGAAGAACCTCAGATGCTCTCCCACATTTTAAAGGGGGCTTTTACAGCTGACAGTGCTAAAATGTTCAAAGAACCCACGTGTCTAAGCAGCACTGACTATTTCAAGGAGAAGAGGGGGAGAGGCAGCCAGGCAAATGCACTGCTCAGCTGCCAGTCACTCCCACTGCAACAGCCTGAATCTGTGTGCCACCATGAGCTGGCCCATGACTGCCACCCAACACTGCTTCTAGAGGAGCACATGGGCACCACTCACCAGAAACACAGCAGTTAGCAGCCGGGGGCTCTGTGGGGAAGGGGTGTGCACCCCCTCCTGGGGCCCCTAGAGATGACCAAAAAAGGTGGGGCATCTCCAAGGGGTACCTTGCTCCAGTTGAACTCTTCCCACTGAGAGCAGTTTTCACTTATTTATGAAAAAGTCACAGCATTTGAGTCATGAGCTATAACGCTACTTTCTGTAAGTTACAGAATATTTAAGATTTTAAAAAACATGTCTTTCAGCCAGAAAGCAAAGGCAGCGGACAAGCCCACGGAGGGCTGGGGATGAGTCTTTTCCACTCTTCCTGGCAGATGCTCATCTTCATTGCAAGACTCGGGCTGAGGTGGAGCCAGCTTTGTCAGGAAGAAAGCATGTCTGTGTAGGAAAACGCCCTGGGACATTTCAGAGGAGGGAAGCAGGAAGAGGAAGAGCATGACAGCAGACTTCCAAGCACCCCAGGAACTGTATGGGGTGGGGGCACGTGTCTGCTGAGAAGAGGTATGTCAGGGCTGTAGAAGGGCTGCCAGGCCTTGGTGCTCTGCTGCACGGATCCCTCTAAACCTTGCAAGTTCGTGAATTCTTTGTGATGTGGCCCGAAGACACAGGGTGCAAGCAGTGGGCTGGCTCCTGGAGTCAGACCTTGTGACTCAGGGACAGCCCAGCTGCTTCTGGAACTGACTGGTCCCTCAAATAAGCAGCCACACCCAGATCCCTCATGTCAAACTGCTTTATTACATCTTAAATAACAGTACAGTTTAATATAGTATCTATCTTGCATCCAGCTTCCTTGCAGTACACTGACTTTAAAATTAAATACAAAAGGTGAAAAGGGGTACAGATGCAGAGAGCTCTACAGAGTGGTTTATGGAGGGAGAAAGAAGGGTTTTGTTTTATTCTTTTGCCAACCCAGGCCTACCGCACAGTCACAGCACAGTGGGTACAGGGCGCTGCTGAGAACAGAATGGAGAAGCCACTATTGCTGCTACAGAGGAGTGCTCCTGGGGACAAAAGGAAGGCAGGAGAGCCGACAGAACACCCTGCGGTTTAAACGCTGCTGCTGGATGCTTGAGGGGGCAAGAAAAACCCGGGACATCTGTGTGTTATAAAAGTGGCCTGCCTCAGATGGATGCAAAGGCTCTTTCCACAGGGGACAGGGGCAGGGATGAGGGCTCATGAAGAGGAAGGCTAGATCGCTGTCCCCTGCTCCCGCCCCGCTCCCGCCCAGCCCTCAGAATCCAGCAGCAGTCGTTTGGAACAGGACATCTCTCTTAAAAGAAAAAGGAAAAGGTGACACGCCCACTGCAAGAGCGTGCAGAGCCGCTTGGTGTACTGGCTACGTGTGCACAGAGCAGTGATAGGGTGGACAAGCCGCCGCAGCGACAACGGTGAAGGGTCACTTCTTAAAGAAAAACATCTAAGGACAGAGTCCTATATGCACTTTGAGCATTTCTACAGCATGCGATTCTAAGAGTAAACCCACCCAATATGGCAAATGATCAAATTTTTTAAAATTTAACTTAGAAAGTTTGAGATCATTATTTTCAAAACATTGATTTGTACATTGTTTCATACACAAACAATCGACTGACGACCCAAGTGCAGGGGCGGGCCTCTCCTGATGGTTGGGGGAGGGGGTAGTGTCAGGTCACAGAAACATCCCTCTAACACCACAGAAAACCCGCGGGGGCTTCAAAACTGGGCTGAAGGAGGGAGAGGACAGGCAGAGAGGGTGCCTGGTCTGAGCTGACTGGGAGGGGGCAGTTCTGAGTCACATACTCACAGTGCCCATGGCGTGTGCTTGGCCTCACACTAACGCCACCTCCCCACGCTGTGTGTCTGCGTGTGACAGGCACCATGACATTGAACAGAAAATAAACCCAGGGCTGAATTTACATCATGGACCATTTCAGGGAGGCTGCAAGAGACCCCCTTGTTCTAGTTGACTACTGAACATAAAGGAATATATTGAAAAAAGGAAATGTGAATGTTTTCAAAATCCTGCTACAAACACGACTTGAAATTTAGAAACTATTACAAGATAAAACAAAGTCCTCAACTTGTTTTGCAAGAACATCACAAAACAGGGTCACTGGTCTAAAGTTCAAATAAACTAGTGAAAAGTTGTTGTCTGTTTCACAATTACACTCAGGTTTACCTTCTGGTTAACATTTTTATTATAGTATTTCCTTTTAAAATTCATTCAAGACAGAAAAGAAAACAAAGACAATGGTCCCGAGAGGAATGCACAATTTGTTTTCGTTTACAGCCAGAGTCTTCTCTTACTGGGAATTGTGCTCTTTGTTTTAGCAATAAGTGAAGGAAAAGAAGATCTTGCCCTTTTGAAGTTCTGGGGGCGGGGGTCGGGGTCCGAGTTAGTGCGGTCGGGCGGATTTGCTATCACTGTAACTCATCAGGGTCTGGAATGGTCTTCCAGTCACCACGGAGTCCACCTGCCATTGTGAACAGAGTTTAAATAAAAGTTAAAAAGAAACATAAAATCCAAACAGAATTTACAATTAGCGGTGCTGCCACTGGGAGCAGCAAACCTGCTTGGTGGCGCAAAAGCTTCCCATGGTTCATCTCTGTGCCTGCAAGCAAAGGGCACGTGCTTCAATTTTCAATCAACTCTACATCAAAATCAACTAACCTAGAAAACATAAATCTCACAATTACATGCAGTGGAAAAACTGCAGGGTGAGCAAGCACACACAGCCACGCTTCGGAAGCCACATGGGCTGCTCCCTACCTGTTGGTGTTAGTTCCAGATCTTGAGGAAGCTGTCCCAGGACCCCGTCGCCACGGCCATGCCATCGTCAGTCACTCCCAGGCAGCTGACACGGTTGTCATGCCCAGCCAGGACACCTGGAGAACAAACCACAGCACAATCACTCCAGGAGCCCATATAGGTCTCACTCTATGGGAACACTGAAGGAAGAAGAGCCCAGACTCCAGCTGTAAGTCCCAGGATGCCTCAACCACCAAGGAAAGGATGCCTGGAAGGGAGGGAAACGTTTTTTCAAGTGGAACTCAAACTGAGCACTGTAACTGCCCATTTTGTTCAATGTGAGTAGGGTTAATATACTCCTTCTCTTAAAAATAACTTGAATGTATCTATAGCCACAGGGATGTATTAAAATAAAAATATACTGAAGAACCTGGTAATAAATGTGCTGTAAGACAGTATGGTACACATGCAGAACTGTAACTGACCAGAGCCTTTTACACTAACTTCTGAATGTTCAACGAGGTAAGAAGCTGAACTGAAAAAAATGGAACAAAAGTTAAAATAAAAATCATTCCATCTCAAAGCCATTTACAACCTAGTATATGGTTATGGGCTGTGTGATTCCTGGAGCCAGCAAGGGCCTCGATCTGGAATTGAGGAGAGGGTGCTGGCAGACAAAGTGCCCTGCAGTGACCCTGCACCTGGGGCATGCCCACCATTTAAACTTCCAACAATTTTCTCTTGCATAATTATCAGCCAAAACCTTCACCTTTGCTTCAGGGGAATGGGAGGGTTAATGTCAGACACCGTTCTCCTCCATCCTTTATACTCAGTAGCACAGGAACAAGGGATGACTGAGAACTAATGATCTGGGGAGGCCTGGGGCTTCTACTCTCCTTGGTACTAATACAGCAGATACAGAAGTAACAGAGTAAAAGGCAAGGTGGTCAACAAGCAGGGAAGATTACCTGCTGGAAAGTAGGGAGTCTTGTGAGATGACCCAAGGACCAGAGTTGCTCTCCCAGTTCACCCTCAAGAACAACATGCCTGCTAACCTGATGGGCCCAACATTTCCAAAATCAAGTGCCCAGATGTCATCTTTCACACACAAAGCTCTTAGCTTGTATGCAACCCATGCTTTAATACCTATCAATGCACACTGGCACCAACACATTAAACCACTCCTGAGTCATTTTACGGGTGCTCCCTGCACCCACAGCCCTTTCTGGGATCACCCCAGACAGTGTGTTGTTACGTACCGTTGAGTCAGCCTCGACTCATAGCGACCCCTCCTTGGGTTTCTGAGGCGCTATCACTACAGAAGTAGACTGCTCGACCTTCCCTCCGAGGAGTGGCTGGTGGGTTTGAACCGCCAGCCCTCTGGTTAGCAGTCAAGTGCCTTAGGCACTAGGAGACAGATATGCTAAATGGTAGCCCAGGACATCTGTGCTGCAGCCAGACACTGGGTTCAAGCCTGGCCTTACCTCTTAAGTACCAATCCTGAGTCCTGACACCTCAGCTTGCTTGTTTCCTGGGGATGGCTGTGAGGATGGTGTATGTTAAAGTAGGATCATTCAGAGCTGGGCCTGGTGCCTGTCACTGGGCTCAGTGATTGTAGAAACATGAGCAGTAAATGGGGGTAGGTGGGTGGTGAAAACAGAGAACTCAATGTCAAAGATGGAAATCATCTAGGCAGTGAGCTCAGTCATGAGGTAAAGGCCCACATGTTCAATGCTGGTCTCGGGCAACTTCTGGACACTCAGCCTTGACACATGGTTTTAGGACTAAGTTGTGGATGAATGTTGAGGTCTGCTTGCTTATTTCTGTGACAAGCTTAGGGATTTTCATTCATTATTAAGAAATGGACCTAAAATCAATACACAGATCCTAGGCAAAAAATAAAAAAAAGCTCTGTTGGTATAGTGGTTAAGACATTTGGTTGCTAACCAAGAGGTTGGTGGTTCGAATCCACCAGCCACTCTGTGGAAGAAAGATGAGGCAGTCTTCTTCCATACAGATTTACAGCCTTGGAAACCCAATGGTGGTCATTATGAGTTGGGATTGACTCCATGATAGTGAGCTTGGTTTGAGTGAGAGGCAAAAATAACATCATAATGCAATGAAGTGAAAACCAACAATCTTATTCACAGGGTGTGCCAATTAGAGCACCGCAGTCGTTCCCTCTTGGGTCAGTGCTTGGCTCCAAGGAGGCATGGAAACGCAGACCACTATGACAGGCTGGTACTAGAAAGTAAACATAAGTTAGGTCCAGGAGAAACCTCTGAAGATGATGAGATAAAACCCTTCCATGCTTATGCCAAGAGCACTTCCCTTACCACAGGCCACACAGAGTTGTCAGGCTCACTAACATGCCCTACAGCCAGGCAGGACACAGGGCAGATGTCATGGGGTGCAGAGTTGCCCAGTCACTGGCTCCAGAGGGGTACATACTCCCCTACCCACTATGCTCTTGCATGCATACTTTACATGTGAGGTGTGTGGAAGACTGGGATCATGTCTGCTGCCAGGCTGTGCCATAGGCGTGCAGGCTTATTCAGGCACAGCCTGACTGGTATAAGCCAAACATTCAGGTACATGAATCATGTCCCAGCTGGTAGATATGGCCAGAAGAATTGGGAGGCATGGAAAGAAAGCCCCAGGATCACCTACCAGCCCTGTCCGCCTTGAGTGCATCCCAGACATTGCAGTTGAAGTCATCGTAGCCAGCAAGGAGAAGGCGCCCACTCTTGGAAAAGGAGACAGAGGTGATCCCACAGATAATATTGTCGTGGGAGTATGTCATGAGCTCCTGGTCTGCACGGAGGTCAAACAGCCTGCAGGTAGCATCGTCTGAGCCAGTGGCAAATGCGTTGCCATTTGGAAAGAACTGGAAAGAGAAAGCAAATTGAGATAAGGTATAAATGCTCAAAAAAGAAATACTGGTGCTCACTGGCAGGGCTGTGGCAGGTATGGTAGGAAATGGTTAGCCATCTGTACACTGACTATGTTTGCAGAGAAGAGGCAGGAGGAGCAACCGGCCCAGAGCCTCTTAAACTAGGTGTCAGATACCGCAGCTCCCATAGGTGGGTTAGCTCACCGTAGAGCATGAGAGAGCACAGTCCTGCCCCAGACTGTAGAGCCAGCACTTACGCAGATGGCGTTGATGTCAGACTCGTGGCCAGTGAAGGTTTGCCGACACATCCCTTCTCGCACGTCCCAGAGCTTGGCCGAAGCGTCACAAGCACCAGAGACAAACAATCTGGTGTCTGGAGCGAGGGACAGGCTCATGACATCCCCGGTGTGTCCCGTGAATGTGGTCGTCTGCTGGCCAGTCTCTATGTCCCACAGCGCACTGGGTTAGGATCAGAGGACAGGGTGTCAGACTCACCTTTGAAATAATTGCTCATAGGACAAACTCAACTCCAGAATCACCAAGAACCCGCCAAGCCACTGAGCTTATACTTAAACTCAAATATGTAATATGACTTTGTTTGAAGGGAAATGACACGAAGAAAACAAACTAGTAAACATACACTAGCACACGATTAAGTGTAGAGGCCACAGAGGTCACTGTGGTCTTTCTGTTGACTTAAGCACCCTCTAACAGGGAAACAGAGTCTCCCCTCAGGAGCATGGCCCCTGGAGATGGTGCCAGACCAAGGGGCAGGTGGCCAAATGGCTCACATCTAGAAGGGAGAGACAACTGTGCTACCTGCAGCCACACCTCCCCTCCTCTAGAAGAGGTACTGGATACAGAGATATCTCCAGGTAAACAAGGGCCCAGAGTGTCCTGAGGGCCTGCTGCCTCCTGGGGCTCCCATACAGGAGAGGAGCTGCCACTTTGTGGCTGCAGGCTGGAACCTCTGCCCTCGCGGTATGGCACAGGCATAAAGATGAGATGCCAGAAGCACAGTGGCCAGAGCGGGAGCTGGCTGTTGCAGGATGACTCAGAGGCCACAACCCCTGTATTGTCACTGCACTTCAACCACAGAGAGCAGCACCATTTTTAATTTCACAACACCTCTTGACCCACAGGGCTCCACCTTGGCCTGTCCTGTGCTGGTGCACAGCCTCACCCACCACTGTGCCTTGACCCACACAAGTCTCTGCCTTAGGGCCCTTCTAGGGCTGAGGGACCACGGAAAGGAAGCAAGGTATTTCCAAAGCCTGAAGAAATTATTCAAAAACAAACAGCCTTTTAAAACATCTTTGAATAAGGAAATCCTTCCAAAGACTGATGGTCTGTGTTGTCAATCTTACGTGAATTCATGAATTTTAGACAAAAAGGACATTTTGTAATACAACACAACCTCCTTGCTGTAAGTGGGAGAAAAGGGAGTGTTAGGGATTGAACTGTGTTCTCACTATGAGTCAATTTGGCTGGCCCATGATTCTCAGTGTTATGTATTTATCCTCTATTTTGTGATCTGATGTAATTATCCTATGTGTTGTAAATCCTAATCTCCATGATGTTAATAAAGAGCTCTGGTGGCATAGTGCCTAAGGCATTTGACTGCTAGCCAGAGGGTGGTGGTTCAAACCCACCAGCTGTTCCTTGGAAGGAAGATGAGGCAATCTACTTCTGTAAAGATTTATTGTCTCAGAAACCCAATGGGGGTCACTATGAGTCAGAAACGATTTGACTGCAGTGAGTTTGGTTTTTTTGGATTAGGTTGTATCTGGAGTCAAACTCTTTTGAGATGTAAAAGACAAGCGAGCAGAGAGGAGAGGGACCACAGCACCACCAAAAAAGAAAAGCTGGGAGCAGAGTGTCCCTGCTGGATCCGGGATCCCTGTGCTGGGAACCTCCTAGACCCAGGGGAAGGCGGATGCCAAGACACATGAAGATCTCCAGTGAATGCCAGGCCAACAGATGCTGCAAGAAGACAAGGACCTTCCTCCTAAACTGTGAGCCAACAGAGAGAGAAAGTCTTCTCCTAGAGCTGGCACCCTGAATTTAGACTTCTAGCCCCCTGAACTGTGTCAAAATAAACTTCTGTTTGTTAAAGCCACTCATTTGTGGTATTTCTATTAGAGCAGCACTAGATAACTAAGGCAAGGAGCTAGGGCCTGGTTGGTGGGCACAAAGAATGCCTGTGGTACTAGGCATTCTTGGCAGTAACCAGAGCCCAGCTGCCCGGCAGCCTCTCATCATCAAAAGACCACCCCCCCCAGCCGAAGGACAGGTTACATCTAAAAGGAGTCCATGAGCAACTAACCAACTGGTCCTGCAAATGGTATGCCTTGGCACAACAAGTGAAAACATTCTAGAGCTTATTTCAGTGGGCTCCATAGCGGTTAATGAGATGCAAATGCTCTAGAAATTAAGAAACCACAGAATTGACCTGAAATTGTGATACCTGTAACTGGCATTGACAAGACAGGCCAACCAGAGGAGTAACAAAGCGTGAACAAATACAAGTACACAGAGGAAACAGGTCCTTTGCATACAACTATAGTCTAAAGACCTTTGTCAGTTCTTAACTGTTTAAAACTAAACTGTGAATACCTAAAAATAAGTTTATGTATGCCTTCATTGTTCACTACTGCTTTGTATTTAAGGTCTTAAGGCCATCTGAATTTACAGATGGCCTAGTCCATGTCAGGAACCCATTTTCTACACATCTCATTTAGGTTCTCCTTTTTTAAAAGCCTGCAGGCGACAATGTAAGGAGGTCTTCTAGAAGAGTCACAACTGCTGGGCAGAGGGACATGTGCTGCTAGCTCTGGCCAGCTACTTACCAGGTGGTATCTCCAGAGCTGGTGACGATCTGATTGTCATCCAGGAAGCGGCAGCAGGACAGGTAACCTGGCAAACAGGAGACCCAAATGAGGAACATGTCCAGGAAGTCTAGTGCCGCATTCTTATAAATATAAGAACTGTGTAGCAAAATGAACATACTGGGAAGTTACTTAGGTTAAGACCAATCTGAGGACCTTGTTAGTGCTCCTCTGTTCTGTTTTTGTATACAGTAGGGAACAAACGAGGGAAGAGAGGGTGGCAGGGAATGCTGGGGGAGCAGGAGCACCGAAGGAAAAGGAGGTGCTGCTGTGGGAAACGGGGGTCCTAGGAGGACAAGGAGGCAGTCCCTGCAGAGCTTCCTGCACAGAAACCTGTGCACCGAGCAGACACGGAGCAATGAACAGTGCTCACAGGTGTGTGGATCACTCCTCTGCTTCCTGCTCAATAGATCAAAGCCTGGAGCCACCTTCACTCTTCCTCTTTCGTTCCTTTAATAAGTATTTATCCCAATATGGGGGTGGGATATTCTAGGCACCTGGAGCATCAGTGAACAAAGGGGATGATGCTCTTGTGCCTAGGAGATGACACTCCAAGTGGGGAGAGAGGAGGAAACCACCACAGAGCACAGGAGCCCTGAGGGTAGCTTCAGAAAGAAAGAAAGGAAGAAAGAGCCAAATCAACACTTTTAGGAAAAAAATCAACAGGACCAGAAGTTGGCTTTTTGAAAAGATCAATAAAATTGACAAACCACTGGCAAATTTAACAAAGGAAAAGAGGGAGAAAATACAAATAACACGAATAAGAAATGAACTGGGTGACCTCACAACATAACCAACTGAAATAAAAAGGATAATATTAGGATACTATGAAGAACTCTACTCCAAGTAATTTGAAAATCTGGAAGAAATGGGACAGCTTTCTAGAAACACAACATTTACCTAAACTAACAGACTGATGTGGAAAAGTTGAATAGGCCCATCACAAAAGGAGAAATTGAACAGGTCATCAAAAAATTACCAATTAAAAAAAGTCCTGGCCCAGACGGTTTCACCAGAGAATTCTAGAAAACATTCAGAGAAGAACTGATACCAATCCTACTCAAACTATTCCAAAACATAGAAAAAGATGGAATCCTCCCTAACTCATTTTATGAAACAAGCATAACCTTGCTACCAAAACTAGGCAAAGACATCACTCAAAAGGAAAACTACAGACCAATATCCCTCATGAATATAGATGCAAAAATGTTCAACAAAATCCTAGCCAATAGACTGCAACAACATATCAAGAAAATCATTCATCATGACCAAGTGGGATTCATATCAGGTATGCAGGCATGATTCAACATTAGAAAAACAATCAACATCACCCACCATGTAAAAAAAAAAACAAAGGAGAAGAACCACATGATCTTATCAATTGATGCAGAAAAGGCATTTGATAAAATCCAACACCCATTCCTGATCAAAACTCTCAGCAAAACAGGAATAGAAGGAACATTCCTCAACATAATAAAGGGCATCTATGCAAAACCAACAGCCAACATTATTCTCAATGGATTTCAATGGAGAAAGACTGAAACCATTCCTCTTGAGAACAGGAACCAGACAAGGATGCCCTGCTGTCACCACTTCTATTCAACATAGTACTGTAAGTCCTAGCCAGGGCCATAAGGCAAGAGAGGGAAATCAAAGGCATCCAAATTGGTAAGGAAGAAGTCAAACTATCCCTATTTGCTGATGATATGATCCTATACCTAGAAAACT